CAGCTTTTGGATAGTGCACCTCGTTGAGGCGAAACACTGTACACTTCATCAACGGGGTATGTTGTGACAGAGGGACCCAGAATACTCCCCATCGCTGTCGTGCTTCAACTGTGCTCAGCAAAGGTTGCAGGAAAGGCGCTGCCAAATGAGAAGGGCAAGCTGCAGGCACACACTTGTTGCCTTGCGAATGATTGGAACCTAGCCGCTGGTGACTGGAAGAGAGATACTGTTTCTTTGTCCTTGCAAGGCTTCAATCCTTGGAGCTGTTGCGGGTGCTCACTTTGCACGCGCAGTGGCTCCGGCCTACGGCATCCCGGTCAGCCAACACTAGAATTGCTGGCAGCATGCGATCCGCAGATTCAACCATTTCAGCAGGACATCAGATTTGGCAATGTGTTGCCAGGTCCTCGTGCATTCGGACCACTGCGCAAAGAAGTTGTTGCCATGGTTTGACGGCACTGGCCTCTGCTTGTAAACTTTGTCCAACATTTGAAGCAGTTAAAACTAGACAACCAAGGTATGTTGGAGGCAGACGAGGCATACTTCAAGGAACATGGAGAGCCATTGTTCTCTTCTCACATGCTGGATTTGTCGGGCACAAAGTCAGTGCGCAGATAGCTTGAATCTGATGCATTTGTTCAATTTCACTGCAGTATACAGTGTGCAGACATGAAGGATCATGAATCATTAACCTTCTTTTTTGCTTCTCTACAGGTCCGAGGAGCCAGATGAGGAAAACATCGCGATTTGCGAGAAGCACCCGTCCCGCATTTGTGGGATTGGAGATGAAACCAGGAAATGGTCGAGTCTAAACTGTTGGTGTTGGGACATGGTCGTGATCCCGAATCGAAACCCGCTGCACGTGAAAAACTCTCTTGGAAAACACGCACCTTTTCTTCTGGTGACCTAGGGTCTTCGTTTGACCTTCTTTCGAGGTCTTGATGAAGCTCTCTCGCTCCATTCGAAAAGGGCTGCGAAAAACAGCACACATGAAAAGCTGTGTCATCCTTGCGCAGGGGTCATGCATCAACACTCCCCCTGTCTTCGCGGAAGACAACACATGATGCCATGCTCCTCACCACACGAGTACTCCAGGTCCAGGACCCTTCTTCCAACATGTGTGATGAGGGCAGGCCTTCCATCAGCTCAAGCCCTGCGGTTTGACAGCTTCTTCATCTGTCAGTTCAAAGGCCAACCAGGCCGTGTGGCAGCAAGACAAAACCAACAATGCCCATGCATTCGTTGAAAACAGTTGCCCTGTATCCTGCAAACCATCAGCCCAGTGTGCGTCCCTTTCCTTCGTTCTTTCGTCTTCTTCATCAAAGCCGTAATGCCAACAGGCATTTGCTTCACCACAATGGCCAAAATGGCCTTAGGAAGGTCGCCAAGCGCAACTAAAGGCGGCCCCCTTTTCTTCCCTTCCATCACTTTTCTTCACATATTGAGCTCCCGTTCCCGGAGCTCTTGCAGGCATCGAACACATGGGGCATACTTCTTTTTAGCTCCAGTTGAACATGCCGGTGGTCTGGCAGCATCCACATGGTAGATCTCGCCCCATCCACGAGACCAAAGGTGTTCACCCCTTCGGACATGGGCCATGTCGATGGTGAAGGCACAACGATGGCATGGAGGTGAGGTCCGGAGCACGGATGAGGTGAGCGTAGGGCAAGAAGTGAAGATATGGTACTTCTGCCCATACTTGGTGATGTAAACACCCATCCCTTGGTACCTCCGGCCTCCATCCCCGATTGGCGGTTCGCCATCACGCTGAAATGCCCTGGGGCATGCCTTTGCAGCCGCTTCTGAAGGACCTGTTGGTCTCGGTTGAGGTGGTGTTGGATCCCATGCTTCATCGGCCATCATGTCACGGTAATCCCTCTCTGTAGGGTGGTAGAGAGTCTCATCCTCATTGGCCGGAGACTCTTGTGGTGGAACCTCGAGTGGTACTTCATGATCGCCAGCAGGAATCTCCTGCTCAGGCTCTTCTTGGATGCCAGTGAGCGTGACATCCGACTGAGGCTGGGAGGCTTGTCCGGATGAGCTCGAGGTCGGAGGTATGCCAGCCTGTGCCCTCTCTTCGGGAGTGAGAGAGGAAAGCCATCGCAGCAACCATTCACGGTTCTGCAATCCAAACTGGCTTCTCTCTTCAGCTGTCATGGGGCGCGCTGGACCATACGCCCAATCAACAGGTTCACCATCTTGAGGATCTCCTTTGCCCTGCCCTTTTCCTTTTCTCTTTCCTTTTGACCTGGCACTAGGCCTATTGACTTCCCGGCCTTGCCAGTCAACGGTGATGGAACTTCCCTGAGATTCCGACGTGGAACTACCAGGTGGCCCAAGTGCCGGGGGCTCATATTGTTGACCAGCAACCGCGTCACCATCATTGATAGCTGGTGCCAGCAACCAAGCACAGAAGCGCCTGAAAAGCAGGGTGGCCAAGATGACAAGGATGGTGTACAGCATCATGAACATTCGAAGCGGCTCAGAACCAGCTTGGTCAGAGGGATTCCCATCTTCCTCACTCTGATTTCCTTGGGCCCTTGATTTGGCGATGAGTGCCATAAGCACCGCCAGCTGCAACTGTCGGCCGCCGTAGTTCATCATCTTTTGCATTCCTTCATCTTCCTTTCTTCTTTCTTCGCTTACTGCCTCTGGGCCATCCTCCTTTTCTTCCTTTTCTTCACTTGTCGCCCCTGGGCCATCCTCCTTTTCTTCCTTTTCTTCACTTGTCGCCCCTGGGCCATCCTCCTTTTCTTTTCTTTCTTTACTTGTCGCCCCTGGGCCGTCCTCCTTTTCTTTTCTTTCTTCGTCCACCTTCTTCTGCAGGACCATGGACATCAATTCTTTCAGCTCCATAGTACGCTGACCCGAAAGGGGTTTCGTACCAAGGTTGGCAATCATGATGGCGCCAGGCATGTGTCTCACTCGCCAGTCGAGGTTGGTGATTCTCCAGCGAACATGTTGTGCCCTCAGCCTCAAATGTCTGGTGCGCCAGTTGGCATGGCCATCGGAGAAGAACCCAGTGGCCGCAAGGTTGTCGACAAAGAGGGTCTTCACGTAGGGTTCCTCATGCTCTTGGATCATGCTATCAACTGTTTCCGGCGACGCTGCAAAGCTTGAGTCCGTGTAGACCTCCAATGACTTTGGCCCTCCATCCCATCCTTCTCCCTTTCCAGGAGGAAACTCAAGTCCTTCATTGGGAGTTGACTTCAAGTACTTCCAGACTTGGGTGGCTTGTTCAATCACCCAGGATGGATGTGGCAGAATTTCTTGTGCGCATCGACTCGTAGCGAATGCTACATCGGGTCTTGTACGAGTTGACAACCACATCAGTTCGCCAACGAGCTTCTGGGCTGCATTGACCAACCCTGGAGTAGGCTCTTCTGGCATCGGAGCAGCATCCTTGGACATAGGGACCTTCATGTTCTTTGTATCTGGAATCCCTTCTTTGTCCTTGATGTAGTCTTCTTGCGATGCCCGATATCCTCCTTCGACTGTTTTGGTGATCTCCATGCCCAGGAACTTGACCTTCTCCTTTCCCACTTCTTCAGGTGTGGAGGTCTCCCATTGGGCCTGTAGAACTTGGATCACCTGGTCGACGGTCTTCTCATCACTTGTAACCATCAGGTCATCAACGTAGACCAATAGGAATCCAACCATCTTTTCTTCACATTCTTCATCTTCACCATCACCGAGCATGATGCTCCATAGATTAGGCTCAGCTTCGGCCTGGACAAAGCGATGTCCTTGTGGTGAGGTCAACTTCCTCAGCACCTGGTCACGGTAGACCCCGCAACAGCGCGGAGACTGGCGGAGACCGTACATAGCCTTTTGAGCCAGGTAGTAGTCCTTGGGCCCCACATGGCCCGTCTTCAGAAGAAGGGATGGTGGCTTCAATACCACCATGGTCGGCTCCTGACCTTCAGCTTCGATGTCCAGCGGCGCATTGAGGAAGGCTGTTCGAATGTCCAGCACTGATGCCTTCCAGCTCTCTTCAGCTGATCGCTTCAGGACGTAGCGAAGGCAAACGGCGTCCGCACCTGAGGCGTACAGGCATTGATCCTTCTGTTCCGCTGATGCTGGGTCAACGAAGTTGCCGCAAGCTACCAGTCTGATCTTTCTTCTTGGACCAGGCTTCAAGGTGATCACTACCTTCGAGGGCAGCACCTCCAACTTTCTGCCCCACTTTTCTTGAAGGGACTTGAACTCATCTTCATCGATCCGACGGAGAGCCTTTTTCTCCTCGAACAACTGGTGAAGCTCTTTCCGGATTGCTTCATCCCATTGTGGAGCTTCACGAAGGAGTTCTTTTGGGGAGACCACCCTGGTTCGAAGAACTGGTTCCTCCTCCTTGGGCATAGCGCTCTTAACCTTCTTCAGCTCCTCATAGACGACGTCCATGACTTTCATTTCATCCTTGAGCATGATCACGCTTTCCTCCAGGACGATGTTGGAGATCCTTTCCAGGTGTCGTTCTCTTTCCTCCTCAACCACTTCATATTGATCTTCTTCCAACTTCATACTTCTAGCTCCCATTTTTCCTCGGATCCTTCTTCTGATTTCATAGGGACCCTCAGCCTCCTCAGCGGCCTTTGTGACAGCCATCCAAGTTGATTGGCTCGGCTCAGGTTCCTGGGTCTTCATGATGAAGTACGGGACGATCGCCGTGGAGCCATTGTCTCTCAACACCAGGTGACCATGAGCATCGGGTCTTGGAGCGAGGTAGCGAACCTTCTCATGGGTTGCCTCCAATTCTTTTGTCTTCCAAAATCTTCTTTTGACCAGGAGCTCATGACCAAATGGCGGGACATCCCCCAGATCAAGATCGGCCATGCGTCTTCGCTCCCGCTCGTGGACATAGTGGCATGCTTGAGGCCATCGACCCGCCGGCATACCAGCCATGCCAAGAGCCCGACGGATGTGGGACTTCACTGTTTGGATCGCTCTTTCCGCACGCCCGTTGGACTGAGAAGAGACTCCCGCCGTTGTAGTGCGGTGGATGTCCCTTGAGCGACACCACTGGGTGAGGGATCTTCCTCTGAATTCTCCCCCGAGATCAGTGTGAAGCCTCGCCACGTGGTAGCCCATCACCCTGAGCTGGATGTACATTTGCTGGATCGTGGACAGCACCGTCTTCTGATCCTTAGAGGCCATCGGAATGGCGAGTCTGAAGGTGATCAGATCGGGGTTCTCTTTTTCTTCACCCACTTCAACTTCCTTCATCTCTTCACCTTGTTCGCCTTCTTCTGCCCCACCTTCTTCTTCATCACACTTTTCATTTCCTTCCTCCTCATCTTCTTCTTCAAGCAGCACTTCATCAGAGTCAGCCAGTTCATCATCAGGTACTGGCGGATGCTGTTCCTGAGGAAGAAGCCAGGTGTAGGTGCCAACGAGGATGTACTTCATCAAGTCCTTACCATCTTTGGCTACAGGATATGGACCAGCAGTGTCCAGTGATAACGTCGCTGCCAGTGGGTGTGTGACCTTTCGATGCGGTCGGGACTTAGCACTTTGCTCCTGGCAGATTCGACAATCTCTTCGGAAGGGCACGTGACCATTTTGACAGTGCTGCTCCCATGTCATCCTTTTTAGCTTCGGTTCCTCCTCCACAATTCCATTGATGTGGAGAGCACAGGCTTCAGCGACGGAACGACATAGTCCCGGAACCCAGCGAGCAAGTGAGGATGATGGAACCTTCTGACCTTCTCCTCTGCTCTTCGATCCAGGGTTTTTTCCTTTTGGTAAGCGGAGCTCCACATTGGCAGCCAGAGTTGTAGGCTTCACCGGAGCATCCTCCTTCCAGGGTTCATAATCTCCCTGGTTCAAGTGGTGGACTTGTAGATGAGCGGCACTCTGAAGCTTCTTCCATGGCTTCGTACTCCAGAAGGAGACACACGAGGGCATGTAGTCCTTAGGATCGGAAGGCTGCTCTAGCAGAAACATCACCTCCTCTCTTTTCTTCTTTTCTTCATCTTCATCTGTTGAATCCTTCAACTTGGCAGCCATGTCCGCGACCAGGAAGAGAAAGATCTGACGCCACATCAGGACATCATCTTCTTGACACATAGCCATCTCTTCAGGGCTGTAGGCACTGATGCCCCATGGCTCCTCCCAGGATCTTACAGGCCTTGGACCACCAGGATAGTGTCGCAAAACTGATCGGGTACGACAGTTGGGTCCTCCAATCACCGCCGCCAAATCCCCATTCAACGCCAAACGAAGCAGGCCCTTGTAGGCCTTCGAGTCCAGGGATGCCATATCGTGATCATCACCCCTCTGTAGGTCCACCTCCAAGGTACGGCTTCCCAAGCCATGCTCTTCCATAGCCTTTTGCAGAGTGAATCCTTCACGTTTTCCAGCATATAAATGCAGGATCACCGAACCAGCTGCCTTCAACCGCTTTCGTTGATGTCGGTTGGCAGGGAGGTCCTTCCACTCCCCCGGTTGTTGGACCAGGGCCTTCTTGACATGTTCGGGAAGTTCTGCCAAAGCTGGATGGCCTTCAACCAGCGACTTCATCCACTCCACCTCCCGTTCAGGGTGTACTTCACCCACCAAGCGAGCTTGCTTTACCTCCTGGGCACGATCCTCATACTCCTGGATGAGCTCGAGGGCCAGCTGCTTGGGGATCTGTGGACACCCCGCTTGGATGCTGATCGGCAGAGATCCTTTTGTGGGATGGGCGACTTTCATGCCATGTTTCTTCCATGAAATCTTGCATCCTCCTCCAGCCAGCATTCCAAGGGGTACTATTGGTTCCACTTGTAGATTTGTTGAAACCATCACCCCCGACTCAGTCATCAACAGAGGTGTGGTGCGGCCATCAGCCAAGGACACAGAGACCTTCTTGAACTTCTCGAGGCTGTCCGTAGACGTAAGAGGCCTCAGGGGATGCGTAGCACCAGAGTCCAAAAGTCCCCATTCTTCTTCTTGCAAAGACCCCATCTTCGCTTCGCGAACGCGGGTCAGCTTCAGGGTTTTGATGCTTTTCTTGATCTCATCGAGCTGCTGATGCAATCTGCTCAGCTTGGCTTCCGAAGCTTCCTTGTCCTTCATCGCCTTGAGCATCTTGTTTGCCTCAGCGAGAAGTTCATCCATCTTTTCATCATCTTGACCTCCACTTCCTTTTCCTCCTTCCTCGCCTTTTGGATCCTTCTCTTCTTCTTTCTCTTTCTTAACCTTTGGTGGCGAGTTGGGAGCAGTTCCACCTGAGTTCTCCTTCGTAGGGCAGGTCGGAGCTAGGTGTTTCGTGGAGCCACATAGGTAACACCTTTTCTGTTCATCCTTTTGGTCATGCGACCATTTGCAATCACGGCCACGACGACATCCGGCCTCGCTGAGGAAGAACTTGCACGGCAGCTTGACTTCCATCTCCTTCAGCTTGCCTTCACCCCCTTTGGCCTTTCTGTTGATCTCCTCCATCTTCTTTACTTTACTTTCCTCCTTCTTCGTAGTTGCACCACTTCGCTTCTCAGCCAAGGAGAGCTGTTCGATCTCGGCAATGAGATGGGTTGCGAACTGGCTGACCGAGAGCGCATTGGGATTGGTGTCAACTTGGAGGGCATTCCGAGCAAGAGACACCCGGAACCGTAGGCTTTCATTGCCATCCAAAACTCGCTTCGTCAAGCGATTCAGACCCTTGACCAGGATGGACGGGTCGGGTTCGGTGGCTCCAATCTCCTGAGCCCTTGCACGCCAGCGAAGCCATCGACGGAGGCCAACCACCGTGTCGTGCAGATTTCCTGGTTCCGTTGGATCTTCAAGGTTCCGCAGGAGCATTTGTTTCTCGCTTATGCCACCAGGACAGTAGGTGACGTGAAGATGGGCGAGGATGGCGAACACGGACAACCTTTTTGTAGCCACCAGTTCATCTTTCTGAACTTCTGGAATTGCCTTCAGCAACAGGGTGGCCATTCGCCGTTCGAGCTTCGCCCATTTCGGAACACTGAGTGATGATGGAGGCACAGGCTCATGCTTGACCCGTTCCAAAGGAGCCATTGCTTGGTGGTCCTGGTACCACTTCTCAACCTCAGTCATCATTCGATCCCACCAGATGTCAGAGGTGGTCGTCAGGTCAGCCACCACAGGCTGAACAAGGAGCAGCCAATCACCAAGCTGCAGCTGCGAGGTGGAACCATGTAGAGGATGTAGAACAGGTAGTTCAGCCACCTGCCGGACAATCTCCACCCCCTTCACCGTTCCTTGAGCTTCTTGTCCCTCGGAGATCTGTCGTTGGAGGGACTTCATACTTTCCACCAAAAGTGTCATCACTTCCATCTGTTGAACTTCAGGGGGCAATTTGGCTCCCCCGGTTGTAGGTCTAGGCCCCTTCATTTCCCCTTTTCCATAGGATGGACTTCGACCCTTTCTCTGTTGTTCTTTGGAGCGGGACCTGGAACCTTTGACCCCATAGCGAGCCGGGTAGGTCGACCACGGTGTGCGTCCTCGGGCATGTAGGTCGTCGGCTCCTGGAATCCCATTCGGTCCCTCTTCATCAGGGGTGTTGAAGTTGGAGGCACTTCTTGGCCTTTCCGTTTCTTCTCTTTCCTTTTTCTTCTTTTCCTCAACCTCCAACCTCTTTCGGTCTTCCCCCTCAATCCTCCATTCATAGAGCTCTTGCTGGAGGCGATCATTTTCACGTTGTTGGGCCTGGCAAAGGTCAGTGAGCCGTTGCGCATCCTGTGAGATCTGCCAGCGCCACATGATTTCTTCCTCTTGGTCTTCCCGTTCTTGATCGCGACGGGTCCTTCGAGGATCGTTGGAGCTCTCCTCACATCTTCTCAGCTCCTCACTTTCTTCTTCTTCCATCTCCACCACCCTTCTATACCCTTCTTTCTTACCTCCTCTCTTTCATTCCCTTCTTTCTTCTTCTTCTTCTTCCAGGAAGGCAGGGCGAGACACCTGAGTAGGCCGATCATCACCTGAAGAGGACGGCATCAAACCTGGGCCAAAGAGCTGGGGAGCAAGTCGAGCCGATGCCTTAGCTTCTCGGATCTGTTCCTGAGTGAACAGGGGCTTCATGACCTGCGGTGCTGGTGGTGTCAAGGGAGCAAGAGTTGTAGGCATCCCTCTTGGAGCTTCGACCACACTTTCTTTTGACCCACCACTCTTAAACACCTCCATTTCAGTCCTCCCTGTTCCGGTGTTCCCCGGCCCTGTTGTCGAGCGAGCCGGGGTGCTGAACTCCTTCTTTTCATCTTCTTCCTTCTTTTCATCACCATCCACAGCCGCAGCTTCTTGCTTCGGCACCAGCTCATCGCTTCGCGGCTCAGCAGCAGGTGGCGGCAAGGCCAGGCGTCCATCGTCAGGCTCCATGGTTCGTCGCCGTCGGAGCATGGGCGGGTGATGAAGGGAAGTAGATTTAGCAGTTGGGCTCATAACCTGTTGGTGTTGGGACATGGTCGTGATCCCGAATCGAAACCCGCTGCACGTGAAAAACTCTCTTGGAAAACACGCACCTTTTCTTCTGGTGACCTAGGGTCTTCGTTTGACCTTCTTTCGAGGTCTTGATGAAGCTCTCTCGCTCCATTCGAAAAGGGCTGCGAAAAACAGCACACATGAAAAGCTGTGTCATCCGTGCGCAGGGGTCATGCATCAACATAAACAATACCTCCTCGAGAGCTGTACTTTATTAAAATGTTTGAAGTTTTCTTTTTAATGGGGAATTACTTGACTGGCCTGTGAGGTATTTGAAGCGCATGGCCCCCATGAAGCTTATTCTGGCAGCTCGGCTCCATGCCAGTTCAATGGTGGGCCTTGCTATGCCATGAATGCTTCTGCTCACAAAGCAGACCTGTTGCTTTGCTTCAGGAGATGGAGATCGGGATCACAGGTGGCGTTGAGGATGGTGTCGACAACAGCGGAGCCGCTAAGGAGTGCTTTTGAGTCCTCCTTTTGCTTTGATGCCCTAGCTTCAAGTGAGAAACTGCATGTCTTGAGACCAAGCATGACAAGGAGAAGCTGTATTCCACGCCACAAGATGTGTTCGCCGTCTACAAGGGCCTCAACCCAATTTCTCCCATGTCCGCGCCCAAGCTCTCAGGCATTGTTTGCAAATGGCAGACCATCTCCGGTGGGATGTAGGTTTACCATTGCGGCAGCCTTCGGCAATGTCCACGGAGTTTACAAGGTGCACCACTCACCATCCCCGACGTGTGATGTTTTTGACTGAAAACTGGCGGTGCACGCGAGGCTGGCAACGTCGTTCTGAAGCCAGAGATTCTGCAGGACCTGGTGATCTCGGAGTGATTTCAATTATCAAAGATGTTGGTAAAGCGGTAAAACTGGATGTTGAGGTTCAGAGCCCTGAGAGCCCTGATTTGTGAAGGACATGCAGGACTATGCAAGGGAGCAGATCAAGGCATCCACTGGCAAGGACATCGAGAGGCAGATAGCTGGAAATTGAAGGGGCTTTGTCGGGCTGTTCGGGTGAGGCAAGCTACATGAGCAACCACTGTTATTTATATAGGCTCTACTAAAGTAGTCTACAGCATGCTCTATTTGCTTGCCTTTCATCAGTGTTCGCTTGTGAACGAGATACGGCTAAACGAGATACTTTTGCTTGATGACACCAAAGTAGTCTGAACGAGATAGTGTGACATGACCTCCTACTTATATAAGTAGTCTAAACGAGGATAGGGCCCCCACAAAATAGATAGTGATATTGTCTTTGAGTTTAGTACCAAATAAATGCCGCTGCACACATAGTGGTGTAGGCGTGTGTAGACATCATGGAAATAATATTCTTTTGACATAGAAGCCTGGCGTAGGCGCCAGGCATGATCAGACTTGCCAGAGATGAAGAGCCCGAATGAGCAGTTGAGCTGTGTGCCAATCCCGGTCCATTGCGTCGGGAGGGAAGGTCAGGAAAGTACGAACGGAGCTGCAAAGCTACCCGAAATCGACCGGAGCAGCAGAGCTGCGGGAAACTACTCGTCACGAGGCCCCGCTTGCGAGCCCACGTTTGACGGACTTTGCGAGTCCGATTGACAAGTGGCTGGATTGACCTTCAGTGGATGGGTCAGCACGTGCAGCGGGAGTGGTGCACCATCAATTTCACATTTACGGTTGGGTGGGAAGGGTGGGGTTCAGGCTTTGGGGCTTATGCACCTTCCCCTTTTTGCAAGACTGCCCTTGAGACCTTGTGCAAGGACCTTCTGCAAGACCCCTCGCGAGATCCCTCCTCCCCAACTCTTCACTGTTCTTTCTACTGAGGCTTGAACTTGAGTGGTTTCTTTTCACACCTGTGCGCCACACTTGCTGCAATGGCAAAAGGCAGGAAACACCAACCCTTTGGAGTTTCTTTGAAAAAAAGGCTGCCAACTCAGAAGCTTAGCGACTTGGTCCATGCTCAGGTGCTGTGCATGGTTAAAGGGAGTCAGGGACAGTGTGCAGGCGCAAGCATGGCCAAGCCTACGGAAGCTGATGCACACATGCTTGCGTTCGCATGTAGGCATCACCCTTAGAAGCATGTAGCCAAGCAGGGGCCGCAGGGGCGCTTGAATTTTAGAAGCGCCAATGACTGTGGACGGCCTTCACAAAAGCAGCAGCCACCTGATTTAGTACCGCAGGTCCTTCTTGGACACATCATTACTCACAAGCCCTTTATGACTACGAGGTGTCATGTTGACTTCGCAAAGTCTCGCTCCTATGCCAAGCTGCAAGTAGGGTGGTGAGTGGTGATGACACAGGATGATACCATTCATGTATTGAAAGCAGTCGACGTTTTTGAACTTTGCTCAGTGAAGCTCAGATGTTTTTTGTGTGAATTGAAACAAACTTCCGTTTATTCTTCATCTTCTCAGAGAGCAGCTTCAATGGATCAGTCGGGAAGTGCGTCATAAACAACCTGGGTGGACACAGAGGCTGCCTTGCTGCGCGTACGAGATGCTTGTGGCGTCAGGTTGCCAACGGTGCTGAAGAGGGGAAGAGGCTGTGCTATTCAAAGTGGTGTCGTGCAAACAACATTGAGTGGCCTGTGCCCGAAAAGGTCATCATGCGCTACCTGGCCGTCACGCAAAAGGAAGCAAGAAGCAACTTCATTGGCAAGAGCCTTGCGCGCGTCTTGAAGTTTACAAAGTATGTGATGGGGTTTGACCTTGACTTGGGCAGCATCCTTGGCCCCATCATCACAGGAAAGATGAGCAGAATCCTGGCCGCAGGAGAACCAACGGAGCAGCCGCGACCATTGAGTGTTGAAGAGGTCAAGCGACTCGATACCATGCTGGCCTTCCCGCCCAACAAGTTGGACCGGTACTTTGTCGGTTGCTTGTTGCTTGCTTTGTACTCTAGGTCATGATGGAGTGATTTGAGCGACATCCGCGCCTTCTTCTTTCGCATGGTCGGGGCTGAGGCTGGACGGTACGGTTATGTTGAGGCGAGGACTCGAACGCACAAGTCCTTTTCATCAGTGGAGAGTCAGTTTCCAGCCGGACAAAACCAGGTCTGGCTGGATGAGAAAACATCAGGCTAAGTATGACGCAAACTTCGAGGACAGGTAGACTGCAACAAATTCAGCAGCTCCCGACGACTGTGAACCTTCTGTCGCAAAAGAAAATTGCGGACGCCCCAGCGCTGCCAACCTTCGACTCGAACAATCCGTTCCAGAGGCCTTTGCAGACTGGGGCGAGAGTGACGCGCTGGCGCCTCACGTAGAAGAAGAAGTGGTGAAAGGTCGATCTTTGAGTCTTCGCCCTGGCCAAAGCCCAAGCGGATCCGAACTCAGATCCATGGCCGAACGGTGCAAAGAACGCGCGTTGCAGGGATGAGGCTTGAGGAACTGTATGATGTGATCAATGGCGCGCTTGAGAGCGACGCCCTGAAGCGCTTGGGAGTGTGCAGGTGCATCGCGCGGATGCAGATCACCATGACCAACCCGCCCAAGGAAATTGAAATTGGACGCCTCGAGTCCTAGCGAACCCCCATGTCAAAAGGAGAGTCAGCTGTGCCAGTGTTCAGTGAATCTCATTGTGTTTTTCAGGGTGCGTGAGAAATGGATTGCGTAGCAGAAATAGTGGAAGCGGTCGACGTGGTTGACAATGAACTTATTTCAGTGAAGCTCAGATGTTTCTGTGTGAGCTGAAACAAAACTGATCCAATTTGAGCCGTTTATTTTTCACTAGCTCAGCTGAAGGGTAGAGCTGGGTGGGACACTTCACTGCTTCCGTTCCCACAAGCTGGCCCAGCCGCAGAGTTTCTCGCCAGAGTTCGACATCTACCGCCTGGCGAAATATCAAGAACGAGCGCGCTTCTGCATCTGCGCTGCAGACAATGTCCTGGACGGCTTGCGCTCTTTTCATTTTCGCAATGCCAATTTGGCGCAGAGACTGGATTTTGCGCGAATCGCGTTCGTTGAATTTTAGCGCCGCTTGTTAGCCCATGAAAGCCGGCAAGCGCAAGATGCCGTAGTAAACGCCTACGCAACCCGGCATTGGCATCCCTGGTGGTGCTTGCCTATGAGAAGCCTGTGACATTCCCCGATGTCAAGAACAGAGTCAGCTGCGCAAGTGCTCAGTGAATCTCACTGTGTTTATTAGAGTAACAGCAATGAAAAAACTATATCAAACAAGTGGCTGGCCTTGGGGATCACCGTATCTGGCCAAGATTGCCTTTCTGTTGGTGACAAGGCTAAGGCGCAAGGGAGCAGATGGTTCCAAAACTAACGTTTTGCAGGAAGAACAACCAGGGCCGAAGCTGGCAGTCGCGTTGCGAATAGCCGCTGCAAGCGCAGGTGCTTTCAATATTTGAGTTAGATCATACGAATGTGCAACTGCCCAGCCAGGCATTAGCCTCTTTTCAGGCACTTTGGGGAAGGAAACACGAGTACGCAAAATGGAACATAGAAACACGTGTTACCGCCATAGCCAAAATTCACTGGAGTCCTACTTCATATGTGAACAGACACACGGACATAAACAAACACGCACACAGGAAATTAATTGAGGGGTGGAGTCACTGTATGGATTACATTTTGTGAGTAGATTTGCCTAGAAATTAACTGACGGGCATGTGTAGGGTGGTTGTCAATTAGTTTTCAGTGCTTGAGTGACCCCCCTCAATCAATTCCCTGGTTGAGGGTTGGTCAACAGTAGACACCACCTCAATTAATTGTGAGAATGCTATGTGGTTGTACAGCCAACCCACCTCCAATTGATATGTCAGCAAAACTCAGAATTTAAGTCATGATGATTTTTGATGAGTTTGTGTCCTTGCTGCTGCTGTTTTGCCTGCAGCCAGCGGAATCAAGAGTGATAATGGCCTGTCAATCCCTGTCACCCCCTCACTCATGTCCTGTGAAGTAATTAGTTATATGTATATATAATTGGGGGTGGGTCGACTGGTGACCCACCACACAATTTCTGGTGCCACCTCACAAATTTTGGCCCCCGCCACACAATTTCTTGTGAACATAAATAATTGGGGGGTGGGTCGACTGGTCACCCACCACACAATTACTGGTGCCACCTCACAGTTTCTGGCCCCCACCACACAATTTCTTGTGAAAATACCTATTTGGGGGGTAGGTCGACTGGTCATCCCCCCCACACACACACAATTTCAGTGGAACATATATAATTGGGGGTGGTGCCACCGGAAAACGCTCCAGACAGTGGAAAATATATAATTGGGGGTGGTGTCACCGGAAAACGCTCCAGACAATCCAGGCAAATGGAGATGTGTTTTTTTGTTTAGAAACGGGCCCCCAGCAGACTATGGTGATACAGCAAGGCAGTGCTAGATTGGTGCTAGGTTTCTTCATAACACGCACTGTGATCCACGTTGATTTCTGATGACTCATGTTGTCAATTGTCGTTTGAAAAATCGTTGAGGATAAGTGGACATTAATTCAGCAGTATGACAGTGTCTCAAGTAGATATGGGGTGGAGTGGGTGTACCCACCCCAAATTGATCTAAAATTAATCAAAGGTGGTGGGACATGGAGGTGGTCTAAGGTAGTGGTCATTTCACAAAACATATGAAACAATCCCTTCTTTAGGAATGCACGAGCAGATGTCCCGAATGCTAGACACTGGACATGTTTGGACTCTTGTGACATGACCTGGCTAAGAGGTGACAACTTCAAAGCCTTCATTCACGCCTCTCCTCATAAACGTTTTTTACTGTCAACTGAGAACGCGCTATTTTCAAGTCAGACACTCTTGCAAAGTGTAGTGGAGAACAGGAGCATTGCTTGGGCTCGTACGAAACAAATCTGCGCACTGGATGCTCAGACCAATGTGTCGTGATTCCAGACAGCCGCACAGCTGCACGGACGCGCAGAGCAACAAGATCGTCCGACCGCCAGGCCACTGAATTTTGTGTTCCACGGTGGTTCTGGATCTGAAAAGCACCATATCGCCACTGCCGGGGTCTCAGGGTTTCAGTTGCACAAGAAAAGAAAAGTGGTGAACACATGTGCACATTGAAGGGCTCAAGATCATCAATGTACATTGTACATGATTGAATTGAGAGGCATTGAATGCTGGCGTTGTGAAGATGAATGTGGACACTGACACGTAAAGATCTCAATACGAAAGCATCTCTTGACGGCTTGTGTTTGCTGCCTTGGCTAGGCAGTGGGCCTACTGGGAAGGCTTGCTGAAGTTCTACAAATCCAAGGAGGGTGCGTTTCTCAGAATGGAATTGAATGCACACACGGAGTGATAGAGAGCGACACTGAGGTTACTTGCAAGGTCAGATTGGCAATCCAGAAGGTGAGGACAAGCCGAACAAGAGCTGCCCGGCATGCATTGGCTTTGAATTCTGGGTGGTTGAGAGACGTTGTGTTGACGACCCACAACAACAGCTCTTTTGGTAACACAGATGATATACCAAGCCGCCTGAGCATCTTCGAGGTTTGTGGGCCCGCATGAGTATGTCACAAACCATGAGAGATTCTCCTGAGTTAGGCTACTATGACCCTCGCAAATGGATCCGCGAGTGCGAAGTGACCATGGTCAAGCGTGTGAAGGACGGACTGCAGTGGTCCATCAGAGCTCGACAATCGACAATTGCCTAATATTGCCAAATTGCATGGTGACAGGAGAGCTGCACGGACCTTTCGACCCTTGACTTTTAAAGGTTTTTCAATACTTTTGACATTTGTAGCAAAGACCTTTTAAAGCGTCCCAGCAGTTTGCCAAACTTGACTCTTGTAGCTGAGGAATGTGAATGCCTAACTCCTGTGAGTGGGATGCATGATTTGCAATTCCGCGGGCGTTCGACAAGGCATATGTTTGAAACTTCACCTTCAGATTGCCCAGTTTGATACTTTTGATTGAACTTTCAGTCGCCCATGACCTATACTTTTTAACCGCCCATGGTTTTCGATTGGCTCAGCGATGCGCTGGTGCTGCCAAGCTGTGAAGGAAGCTTGATTGATTTTTGCTAGCTTATTTGCCTTGAAAGCTTGGTTTGCACCTATTGCGGCACCTAGTGCACCTTTGGGCAAAGATTCTGTCCGAATAAAGCGGACATCAAAGTTCCCCAATCCTTGGAGCCGCTCTCAGCGTTGCGAGGGTTCTAGGACCGTCAAGAAAAGGGGCGTTCTCCAAACAAAGCCACAGTAAGAGGCCCACCTCATGGCGCTTTCCTGTTCAAAACTACCAAAGAATAGGCCCAAGCCTTTTATGCACCAAGAGTCGCCAAGAAAAAACATACAGACTCAAGCCGCATTCAACTGCGTGACAGCTGTTGCGCTACGATGTGTAGCTGCTTTGGCTGACAAGACAACATTGCTGCTTAGCGGTTCCCTACGTGACCCTTGCAGAAATATGTCGTTGCTTGTCAGCAATCGGAGGAGGTATGTCCAAACAGCTAGCACTTCATTTTGTCTAACTGAGGTTCTGGGAGATTCCGGGTATGAAGGTGGGAAGAGCACAACATCTCGTAAAATCTCATCACTATGGCAGCCCTTCAGATTTCAGGCTGGCGTGGTAACTGGAGACCTCGCATGGTCCCTGCTGCAGCATGCCAAGGCAGATTGGCTTTCAGCATGACCATGAGTCCATACGTGCTTTTCTTTTTCATTTTATAAATATTACCACATTCTTTCTTTGTTCTAGGAGCATAAGTATGCAATTCCGGCCTTCAACTGCACAAGCCAAGGGCCTAAATGTCTGGTCAAGGATTTTGCGATCTGAACTTTGGAGTTCTGCAAGACTGAGGCTCCAGCACCATCAACTCAGTTCTTGAAGCGGGCAAGGACTCTGATTGACTTATGACTCATATATGGGTTACGTACGCGGTTGTAAAAACGAAACGGACCCGAAACTCTTTCATCCGCAGTGTGTTTGGCTTCAGCTATGCCAGGAGGTCCCCCTGGTCAGGGGGGACCGCATCCACCTGCGGAGTGCAACTGCCCGCTGTGCGTTGTATTCCGTAAGGTGGCTTCCCTGGTGTTCGGGGCCAACTCAACACAGGTCCTACGTGATCGCACTCGACCGTATATCGAGGGGCTGTACACTCAGCTTTTGGAAATCGCCCTGGAGGTTCAGGGCAGTTCGGCTTCCCGTACTGGTGGAGCTGGACAAGGTGGGGAAGCGAGGCCCGGAGGCCCACCGCTTCCCTCGTCGGCCCCGGAGCCGGCTGAAGATACACGTGGAGGAGGCGATCCTGGACAGACCGTTGCGGCTCCCGGTGGATCGGGAGTAAAGGAGGAAGAAGAGAGCTCACCCGTCAAGGAGGGCGGAGGAAAGGTTGAGGTGGCAGCCGCGCCGCCTGTTACCTCTGCTTCGGAAGGCCCGGACGGTGAAGGTGCTACCTCGGCTGGGTCACGGCCAGAGGTTGAGGCGGAGGAGAACGAAGAGCCCCCAGCGAAGAACAAGCGGCGACCCCCCGCTCCCCCGGCAAAGGCGGGGGGGTTACGAAGGGGAAGACAGTTCAAGGCGCAGGAGGAGGCGTGACAGATCTCGGAGGCGCAGGCGTGACGCGTCGTCCAGCAAGGAGCTGCATCCCAAGGCGGCGCCAAGCACCAAGCGGCCAAGGACTCCCTCCCATAGTCCGCCCAGTGTCCATACCCCTGAGGACCAGTCATCCAGTGCAGGAGAGGCCAGGTCGTCAGCCGCTCGTTTTCGGGGAACATCCCTGGAGCTGGCAGAAGAGGCGCCGGGCGACACCACCGCTCATACACCACCCGCAGCCGAGGAGACCGAGCAGGAGGAGATTGAACTCCCGGAAGAGGAGCCCGAGTTGGAGGAGCCGGAGCCGAGCCCCCCTCGAGAGAAGGGCAAAGGAAAGAAGGGAAAAGGCAAGGGCAAAGGATCCAAAGGCAAAAAGGGCCAGAAGTCCAAGCCCAAGAAACGTAATCGAGGGCTCAAGAAGGTGCAGCGGAACATCGACTTCTACGACAACAAGCGCCGTGATCCCACATGGCGCCGAAGCGCGCAATGAGGAGACCAGCCGGGGGCCCAGAGAGGCCTCGTGTGAGGAGAAGGCCAGCCGCTGCCGGCCCGCCCGATGGAGGCTGGGAGAAGGCCTCAGAGGTGAACATTTGGGAGTTGAACTCCTGGCCGGCGATATACATACAGGGGCAGTATTGGGACAACGATGCAGAGGTGATCGGAGAGATGAAGTCCCTGGCGGTCGGGGACGATGGCACGATGTTGACCGTGAAGGCCCATGGGACGACGTCGGAGGAGCTACTGCGGTTGCTGTCAGGCCGGGCTTCGAAGGTATTGCAAGTCCACCTTTGCGACGAACCATGCAGTCACCTGGTTTGGAAAGAAGGGCTGATTCATGCGCAGCGGCTCAAGAGGTGTCAATTCGAGGATCATCCATGGAGCCGGAATGCCGAAGTCAGCGTGCGAGAGGCAGAACGGGACGAGATGGAGGTGCTGCGGAAGGAAGCGGCCGAGCGGGGCAAGGGAGTTGGCGCTGGCCTGGGAGCTCCTGGGGCAGCCGCGGAGGAGGCGGTGCGGGAGGCTCCAAAAGAAGAGAAGGAGGCCTCAAGCAAGAAGAAAAAGAAGAAGAAGAAGAAGGCAAAAGAGCGCATGACTCCCGTCAAATCCCTGGAGGCCATATTCGGCACAACCGGCCTCGACCCCAAGGAGGAGGTCCGCCGGAAGCTCCGGAGGAAGGCCAAGCATTTGAGCCGCAAGGCCAGGAGTCGCAAGAGTTCATCAAACTCCAGTTCAAGCGACTCTTCCTCGGGCAGCTCAACGATGGAGGAAGGACCGACCGAGGAGCTGTTCTCACCGGTCTCGGCGCCGCAGAGGATTTGGAGGAGGTTTCCAGGCGTCCTTACATCGACGATGATTCTCGAGGCGCAAAGAGTTATGCTGCTACAACTCGGTGCCGGTCTCCACGAAGCCGAGACCCGGAGCTTGCGGCCAATCGTGAGCCAATATTGCAGGCAACATCTCATGGCGAGTATGGCGCCACCTGTGGCGCGAGAAGCGTTGCATTGGTCTGCAGTCCTCGACCTCATCTTAGAGGGCCGTGTGGCCAGTGCAATGGACGTCATGACTCAGCGCCTCAAAAGTTTGGAAGGGCTGAGCAAATCTATGAGGCCAGATCTTCTTCGTCAACTCGAGTTACTGCCCCTGGATCGCGGGGGCCTGGCGACGTCCTCAGAAGTCCAGATGGCGGGCCAGGCTGCGAACCACGAAGCGAAGGTCTTGCAGAAGTCGACCACCAGGCCTTGGGAGGAGAGGCAAAAAGGAAAAGAGAAGGGAGAGAAGGGCAAATGGAAGAGCAGCAAGGGCGACAACAAGACCAACGAGTTCGACAAGAGCAAGAAGGAGAAGGGGGACGGAAAGAAAAAGCCGTGACTGGCTACAGCAGCGGGGGTCCCCGGGATGGCGGGATCGCTCTCTCGGTAGAGGCCCCTGGAAACTATGAGAAGGGAAAGTGCACGAGGTTGGCCCACTTTGCTCTATCTAGTGGTGAACGGGGTCATGAATTCGATAGCCCTGGAAAGGTGGCGACGCTGAATGATGGTGAGCCGCTGGACCTTACAGCATTCAATTCTCCGGAGGGAGGTGCAAAGCTGATGACAGAGGAGGCTGAACCTGACGAAGCTCATGTTTCAGAGGACTCTACAATCCGTGGTATCTTCAAGAGGGCAGTTGAGGTGTTGAGACAGGACGGGCACCTACAATCACGACGCTCCAACACGGAATTCGACCTTGGCTCGCAGTGCCCACCGTTTCCGCTGCGGATTCGAACGGAGGGCTGGGGCAAGAGGTTGAATTTCCCTCACCTGCCTCATTTCGATGAACTGGTGAATGGCACGATGGCGGCGCTCAATCATTTGGCTGGATTCGAGGGCACCCTGACGCCATCATCGGAGGACCACACTTCGTCGGCGGCATCTCCTGAGACCAGCGTTCGAGCGCTAGCGGAAAAAAGGCTAGCGGCACTCGTCGTTCGCAATCACATGTGGGAGGTTCCTGAGAGTTCTTTGTCTTTTAGTGATTTTTTCTCGAGGCGAAAGGTTGATTATTGTGGGGAGGAGGTGAAACTGGCTCAAAGTGTTTCATGGGCAGCTGTGAGTGAGTCGCTTCCGGAAGGTGTAGGAAGCTTGCCACTTTCAGATTTTTGCACTTTGGGCACGAAGGGTTATGTTGATGATTTCGAACGTTATCTGTTGCCATCAGACGCCCAGGTGAGGGTCAAACCCCCCCGGGTCATGATTGGTGAAGGGGAGTGGCCTGATGTGTGCAGTGGCCTGATAGCGAAGCGGGTCTGTGAGGTGTGGCCCATCTCTCAACTCCATCATATTGATGGAGCGCCTTTGCTGAACGGAATGTTTGCAGTAGGTAAGGGCGAATTCAAGGCTGGAATTGAGACCCAACGCCTTATTATGAATTTGGTGCCAGTCAACCAACTCTGCAAACCCCTACAAGGCGACGTGGGGACTCTCCCTGCGGTCTCGGGCCTTAGCGGGTTTCTCCTGGGGTCGGGGGAAGTCGTTCTCCTTTCTTCAGAAGACATCAAGTGTTTCTTCTACCTATTCTCGATTCCAACACCCTGGAAGAAATACATGGGCTTCAACAAGATTGTACCTCCTGAGTTGGTTCCCCCCGAACTGAGGGGCCAGACCTGCGTGCTGGTAGCACGTGTGTTGCCTATGGGGTTCCTGAACTCCGTCAGCATCGCCCAACACATCCACCGGAATGTGGTTCGGTGGGCAGCGATGGCAGGCAGTCCGCCCGTGGGAGCTGAAGGAGAACTACGAAAGGACCGGGTCATGAGCTCGGCGGCGGAGTTGTACAGGGTGTATCTCGACAACTTTGATGCCCTGGAGCGAGTTGATGCCAACTTAGCGGGGCAGATAAAAGGTACAGTCAAGCCACAGGTCGAAGCACTTCGTGACATGTACGCGGAGCAGGGGCTACCTCGTCACCCGAAGAAGGCCGCTGAG